GCCATCGAGCCACCCAACCCTTGCCCATGATGTTCCCTCACCAGTGCCCACCTCAGGAGACACCCTGCAGCTCCCCTACTGAGCAGAGCCCAGAGACTCTCCCTTGGCTGGCTCCCCAACGCCCCTGGGCCCCTCACTCAGCCTCCTCACCCCCAGTTTGGCTGCAAGCTCTGTAGGGAGGGGGTGGCTTAGGAGACAGAGAGGCTGATGGAAATGGGAGAAGGTGGGCATCAGGGTCCTTGAGCCTGGGTAAAAATAGCTGTCCCCTCTGCCCCTGCCCCCTGTGAGGAGGCGGTAGTGATGGTGGCTGCAGTGATGGGGGATGTGCCCAGAGGAGCATCCGGCAGGGCCCGTGTTGCCATGGTGATACTGACTCAGAGGCAGAGGCAGGTAGCGGCATCTGGTACCCAGCCGGCCCGCCTCTGCACTCACAGCACCCTCCCCAACCCCCACCCTGTAGCCTCCACTCCACTCCACTCATTTTCTGAGACTAGAGAGGGGTGGGTGAGGCCCTGTGGCAGCTGGATAAGTTCCTCCACAACCCCCATCCAATCACCTGCTGGAAGGTGGGGGACAATGTTCTCACTGCACTGACTTGGGTACCAGGTCTTCCTCCCTCCATTCACCTGTCATCCTGCCCATCTGTCTGTCTGTCTGTCTGTCCATCCCTCATTCATACATCCGCCTAACATTTATGGACCACCTCCCGTGTGCCCACATCATTCTCAGCACAGGGCAGTTACCTCACACCCGTGCAGTCAAGGTATCAGAGAGGGGTCTGGGCTGGGAGGATGTGGGTGAAGACCCCCAGGCCACTTGGGTCCAGGCCTCAAGATGCTGAGGCCCCCTTCTCTCCCTCCTGCTCTCAGTCTCTCCCCCTCTTCCTGCGTCTTTCAGTCTCTCTCTCTGTCTCTTCATCTCAAGGTACAGCCCAGACCCTTCCCCACACTCCGCAGGCCCCACAGCTGCTGCCCACCTCCCTCCACCCTCTTTACTTATTCCACTCCAGCCACGCCAGCCTCTGCACTTTTCCTCCAGCACACCAGCTCATTCCCACCTCAGGGCCTTTGCACATGCTGCTCTCCCTGCCTGGAAGACCCTTAGGGTCTTCACCTGTGTATTTATCTTGTTTAATTCTTGGTTTCCCAATTATCTCTCTACCCCCCAGGGTATGCCTTCACTTCTCCAACTGTGAAATTGGCATGGTGAGCACAGTATGACTTTACAGTGGGGGGTGGGGATTATGTGCTTAGAACTGTGCCCAAGGCAGAGTAAAAACTCAACAAACAGCTCAGATGTCCAGGAGCTGATGAAGGATAATCAAAATGTGATCCATTCATACAACGGAATATCATTCAGCCAAAGAAAGGAATGAAGCACTGATACACACTACAACATGTATGAACCCTAAAAATATTACGCTGAGTGAAAGAAGCCAGACACAAAAGGCTGCATAGTATGTGATTCCATTTATGTGAAATGTTCAGAACAGGCAAATCCATAGAGACAGAAAGCAGAGTAGTGGTTGCCAGGGGCTGAGGAGGAGGGGGTGGGTGTGGGGTTTCTTTTTGGGGTGATGAAAATGTTCTGGAACTAGATACAGGTGGTGGTTGCACAACATTGTGACTGTACTAAATGCCACTGAATTGCTCACTTTAAAATGGTTGATTTTATGTTAGTGAATGTTACCTCCATGTTTTTTTTAAAGGACATTAGGTAAAAACTAAGGAAATCTGAATAAAGGGTGGACTTTAGGCAATAATGGTCAACCTCCTGTGTCTCTAAGACACCCAGCATGCACCTTCCCCAGGGCCTTTGTGCCTGCAGTTCCCTCTAGCTGGAGGTTTCAAGTGACAGAGAAGCTGGCTCAGACCCCAGGGGGCCAAGGCACAGTCTGACTCCAATTGCTTCCCTCGTCTTCCTGTGGCCACAAGAAAGGTTAAGGGGCTCGGTGGTTAGGATGGAGTGTGCCCGGGAGGCTGAGTGGTTGGGATGACATCAAAGATATTTGGGTCCCTTGGAGGGGACGGTCTGTTCCCCTGGGGGAGGGAGAAGGATCTGTAACCTATGTGGGGTCCCGAAGCAAGTGGGCAGGGAAGGCAATGGAATTCAGTCCAGCTGGGGGCCCCGTCCTAGGGGCCTGCTTCTAGCAGCCTCATGAACACAAACAGCAAGATCCATTTTCTAATTTTTAAGGAAAACTGCTGAGTAATGAAGATCTCCCTGGACAGTGTTGCTGCGCCCGGGCCTCCCCATCCAGGAACCGAGACTTCTGGGGGTTGTGGAAAAGGCTTCGCCCTTCCAGAGAGTTCTGGGGAACCTTGTCGAGTCTCTCCATGGCAACAGGGAGGGAGGGAGGCCACGTGGCCACCCTTCACACGGACTTGGGCACTTGGGGACATCCCACAGCCCTGCTGGCCTTGGGCGCTTAACGCGCTGGAGGGGTGCAGCATGGAGGGACAGGTCCTGGGGGTGCTTACAGGGACAGTCTTCAAAGGAACAGAGAAGGGAATGAGGGAGGGGAAGATGCATGAGGACTCGCCAAGTATTTTTAGGCACTGAATGCAGCCCTGAAATATTTCCATGGCCACTCCCGGAGAATGAGCTGGGTGACTATTTCGGTGCCTGGTTCCAGCGGGGGCAGAGTGGGGGTGAGTCACTGCTGGGTGGCTGGGCAAAGACCAGGAGGGGGCTCTCAGGGCAGGACCTTGGACCTGTAAGGTGACGGCTCCCTAGCCCGGGGCCAGGCGTCTGGTGCTGGGCTCCAGGGTACAGAGGACAGTGGCCTGGCCACTCCCTGTAGCGTGGCACCACTGCCCAGGTCCCCCCTGGACAGCAAGCCAATCACATTGACCCCACGGCTTATGGAGGTAAAGAGGGTCCTGGGTGAGGTTTCAGACGCTCCACAGGTGCTCGGTGAAGCGCCTCTCCTATGTTTTCAGGCACGTATGAGGGACTTCCCTGGAGGGCCAGTGGTTAAGACTCTGCGCTTCCACTACAGGGGGCATGGGTTTGATCCCTGCTGGGGGAAAAAAAAAGCACATATGTCTACCAACCACCCTCCCTTCATGTAATCCTCCCAACAATCCCTGTGAGGTGGAGTCCCCTACTATCCCTGCTGACCAGTGAGGAAACTGAAGCACAGTAGGGTTACACTTGCTGGCCCTCTGTGTGTTTCAAACTCTGTCCCTCAACTGAGGCTATAGCCAGGGGAGTGAATTTTAAAGCAGGTGCCGAGGGACTTCCCTGGTGGTCCAGTGGGTAAGACTCCATGCTCCCAGTGCAGGGGGCCCAGGTTCTATCCCTGGTTGGGGAACTAGATCCCACACGCATGCCGCAACTAAGAAGTCCACATGCCGCAAGTAAAGACCCCGCACACTGCAATGAAGATCCCGTGTGCTGCAACTAAGACCCAGTGCAGCCAAAAATAAATAATAAATAAATATTTAAAAAAAAAAAAAACAGGTGCCGACTTCACCTGCCCCCATTCCTAATTCTACACCTGACACAACTGACCTGAGAGAAGGTAAATGGATCCTCCAAGTTCAAGGAGGGGACAGAGGGAGGAGCTCAGAGGAGACTCTGGAGCGGTGTGTCCTGGGGGCTGTGTGTCCTGGGGAGGGTCGCTCACCCTCTCTGTGTCTGCGCCTAGGCACTGCCTGGCACATGTTAGACTGTTGTTAGTTCACGGCCCTGGGTCTCTTCATCCTCTCTGCCCTTCCCAAGCAGGCCATGGAAGCTCAGGGGATTTGCACTTGCTGTTCCCTCTACCTGTTGTTCCCTGCTCTCTTTCCGAGGCCAGAGGCTTCTCGTTGTTCGGGAATTGGTTTGACCACGTCCCCCTTCGACTCTTTGGAAAGGACCCACCCCAGCATCCTGAGCTTCCTGCAGAACAACAGCCTGTCTGCCTGGGCCCTCACGGCACCCCTGCCCCTTCTCCTGTCACCCCTACAGCCTCTATCTTGGGCTGAGCCCCCAGCACTGCCTACTCTTGGTCTCTTGGCTTTCACCCTTGCCTCAGTCTGTTCCAGAACGTTCTGCGGCTTCCCATTTCGCTCAGGGCCTGCACCCGCCCCATTTCCTGTCCTCTCACTTTGCTCCGGTCACCACTTGTCACAGGACCTTTGCACGGGCTGTTTCCCTGTCAGGAACGCTCTTCCCCCAGATGGCTGGCTCCTTTGCCTCCCTCAAACCCTTTTCTCAAATGTCACCCCCTGGCCTGCCCAGACCAGGTACCTCTCTCCCCCACCCTTGCTTTCTACTCTGAATTTATGCATTCGGCTTGTTGCCAGCTCACCCCTGTGGAAGGTAAGGGCCACCATGGTGGGGACTCTCTGCCTAATTCACAGCTGAGTCTCCAGTGCCTCGGATGGAGCTGTGGCCCCAGTTCCTCCGCCCCCGGCCAGCCCTCTTCTCCCGTTGTGGCGGGCAGCTTCCCCTACGGAGATCGTTTAAGTGGACATCAGACCATTTCCCACAGGCCAAGCGGCCCTTTGTCCACAGAGAGATGTCAGAGGACACCAAAGCACATGCTGAGCCGGTAGGGGCACACATGCTGCTGATGCCAGGACACGCGGACCCCAGGGTCCAGTTGAATGGGTGGGGAGGACAGCGGCCGTCAAGCCTGCCTGGAGGACGTGGGAGGCAGCAGTCTGGGGGCAGGGCTTCCCGGGGGAAGTGCTCTTGGAGCAGCAGGTGAGGCCCAGGAGAGGAGGAATCCGCGCAGAAGTGTGTGCAGGCGGGAAAGCAAGAGACACCCTCCCACCCACCACCAGCTTGCGGGGCTGCTGCTTGAGGCTGCCCACTGAATCCAGGTCTCTGAAATGGACTCATGGCCCCAGGGTGAGGCAGCAGGGCCATCCAGGCTGGCACTGGCCCCAGGCTGAGTCACACCCTGGGTGTGTGGGTCTCCCTGACCTGTAGCAGCTGGAGCAAACTCCAAGGGGAGGAGGTCGGGGCCTACAGGAACCACCTACACTTAACCACCTACACGTAAGGTAGCCCGCAGGCTGCAGGTCATGCAGCAGTCAGCTGATGGGGGTGAAAATCCCTGGGGACAGACCATCAGAAGGGCAGAAAGAAGGAGGCCGAGTTGTGGGAACCAGGCCAGCACTTTTGGTTTCTCTTCTTGTTGAAGGGGTTGAGGCTGGTTTCTTGAAACCAACCAGGAAGAAGACTGGAAAACGGGCCTGTCCCGACACCCAGCTCAGGAGGACGACGCCTTCCGGAAGCCCACGGCACCTACGCGGCCAGGGCCGGGGAAGCGGCTCATATCACCAGCGGGCAAGGAGAGAAATGAGAGCCCGGACTGCCCGGCTGGAAAGGTCAGGGTTGCCTGGCGCGGCTGGCGGCGCGGGCGGGAAGCCGCGCTTACGCACGCCGAGGATGCGCCCCCGCGCGGAGACGGGGCGCGTCCGGGACCCACGACCCTGAGCTGCGAATGGGCCCTTGGGAACGTCTGAACACGTTCCTGGTCCAGAGCCGGGTAAGGGAAGAAAAAACAAACTGCGGAGAGCAGGAAGGGGCGGGGCTCCTAAAGGGCTTCCCATTCACAGCCGCGCAGGACACCAGAGCCCCACGGATTTCATCAAAGCCTGACTGGAGACGACCCGCGCCCGGCAGGGGGGAGACCTAGCCCCCCAGAGCAAGGCCCTGGAGGCCATAATGGGACTCTGCGTCCAGGGCCATGGGGGAGGGGAGTTGTGAACACGGCCCCCTCCCTCCCCAACCGTCCTTCTCTTCTTGAGCCTTCATGTCAGCCGGCCCCCTGCACAGCCCACGTCTGTGATGCGGGAGGTGGGTTCTCAGGGCCCAGGTCACACTCAGACCTCACACCCCTGTCCTCAACCTACGCCAAAGTGTTGCTTTGTCACCAGGCAGGGATTCAGGCAGCAGCAGGTCCCTGGAGGGGGGGCCTGGGGAAGAAGCAATGATGGGGGTGAGAGTGGCGGCAGGGTATGGCACTCTCCAGACAGGATGGGGCTGTGAAATCTTAGTCAGAGGTCTTCGAGCTAGCTAGGCCAGCACTTTGCAGACCTGATAAGTGGCAGTTCTACAGGCACCACCACCTTTTCTTCCGATCACCCCTCAGAACCGGTCTCAAACCCGTGACAGGTAGAACCCGCACCCACAGGAACCGGCCTCCTAACACCAGCCTGTCTCTGCGGTTCCCAGGAATATCGGTCAGCAGACCATGTCACCGGAAACATTTTCACAAGTGCTGGCTCAGCGTCTCAAGCAAATCACCGGGTTGTGGAGAGGCAGTGCCCTGACTTGAAGAAGAGGTAAAAGGTTCACGAAAACCTTCCTCATGTGTTCCACGAAGCAGCCGCCTGTCATGGCTTCTCTCTCGGTGAACTCTGGTGTGAATGGTGCTTGCAAAACAGGGACGGAGGGCAGAACACTGGTGGCAACGCCAGGCGGTGTGGGTGTCCCGCTGGCTCCCACCTGGGACTTTCCTCCCCCCACCTCCCCACAAAGAGAGGAGGGGGTCGCCTACTGCCCAGAGCCCAATCTTGCCTTCCACCTTTTGTAAGAGGCTGCTGAGGGACATGGGAACCAGTGTCCCAACAAATTGCTTCCCCTCAGTGAGAGGCCACAGGGTACAAAAGGAAACTTCTTGCATGGGGCTGTGATTTCCTGAGGACACTACCTACTAGATGCACCCAGTGGTTCAAAAGGAATTATGGATTTACAGTTTGTAGTTGTATTTGTTTTTATTTTTGTAACACAAAGAGGGAGAGAGAAAGTGAAGGGACAGGGCCCAGCGTCGTCCCCCAGAACAGCTTCTGAGGCATACGTTCGCCTGGATTCGTTTTGAAAAGGCAATTTTGGGGTCCGTGTTTTAGGAAACTCTCCAGGCTGTCAATCTCAGCGCAAACAGCTTAAAATAAAAACCTCCCGTCTGTTCGTCACACAGGGATCTAACACAAAATGCAAAACAAACCTGTTTGGAAAATGCCTGCCCTTAAGACAAGAGTGAGGGCTTTAAAGATTCATTAAACACAGAATCTTCAGGAATCAAGTTGGCTGCGACTTCACAAAACCAGAAGCACAGAATAACGTTTCCAACTGTAGAACTGCTGGCTGACAAAAAAAGAGGAGGATCACAAGATGACAGGCAGGGGGGTCCTCCCCCAACACCTGCCTCTTCTTTTTGTTCTGAACAGACTCATAAACTGGAGAGTAGAAACGCGGCCTTGCGGGTGGAAGCAGATGCCCGGTGGCGGTGGCTCAATCTCTGGGGAACAGAGGGGCGGCTCACTGTTTGCCCGCCTGTCTGCCTGGCTTCTTTTCTGGTTGACCTCTGCCGGTGCCTGGGATTCCACCTCGGCCCCGGCCCCCAAACACACCTGTGAGACAGGGGAAACGGGCTTTAGCAGAGCCGGGCTGGGAGGCCCACTGTGGACTGGGACCAGGAACTGGAATCCTTAGACTGTGGCCAAGTTGTTTAATCCCTCTGGGTCTCAGCCTCCACTTCTGTAAAGTGAGGGCAGTGATCCTACCTCTGGAGGGAAGGGCAGGCTGAGAATCTGAGATGGAGTGTCGACCAGGGCTGGGCATGGGTAGTGCTCCAGAACATTCTCAGTGTGACAAGGGACCAGACCAGGCCCCCCAGGGGTGTAAAGGATGCCAGGGAGGACAGAGGTTGGCACCAAGTCACACTGGGGCTTGGGGCGGGCTTCCTGGAAGAGAGGGCTGGGGGCCAAGGTGGAGGGCAGTCACCAGGACAAAGCCAGAAGGGCTTCCAGGAGGAGGAGGGGGGGGGCACGAACTAAGACAAGGCCTGGACTCAGTCCAGGGATGGGGCAATGACCCCCAGCTGTGAGGCTGGGAGCTGCACCAGGGGACCTGGACCTTCCTTGCTCTGGCACCACCCGCATCTGGCCCAGGAGAGAAACGACTGGGTGGTTTGTGTGTGTCCAGCCTGGAGAAGGGGCAGGGGAGCCTCCTGAGCCCTGACCTCTGCAGTCAGTGGTGGGGCTGTTTCCAAAATACATTTTACGTGGAACAATGGCACTGCTGTTGGGGGAGGTGAGTAGTTGGAGGGAGGGCATGCCCCCGGCCCAGGGAGGTCCCAGAAGGATCAGGGCAGCATGGGGACATAGAAATGTACACACAGGCCCCCTTCCTCCACAGACATGCAGGGGGCCCTCTGGGGACAGAAGCCAATGCTGGCAGGGTCTGCCTAACCTCACGTCTCATGGGGCAAGACCAGCTTTGCCAAGGGGAGCCTGGCTATGCGGGGACCCCTGTGAGAGTCCCACTGGCTGTGGAAGGCCCCGTGGCCTCCGTTCGGAGCCGCCCGAGCAAGCCGCTCTCCCCGTCCTCCCTGCTCCTTCAGGCAGTTTACTTGACAGTGGTGGCCTCCAGTGAAGGGTCTAGCCCCGGGGACAGGTCCTGGGACCCCTGGGACCCTGCTCACCCCCATCCTAGGCTACTCTCCACCTGGGGTGCCCTCCTGCCCTCTTCCATCTGGCTCCTTTCTGATTATCACGTGAGCCTCAGCTCATGGCTGGCTCCTGTGCCCTTCCCAGCCCTGCCCATGAGCCCCCAAGGTGGGCCCCGGGCCTGGCACACAGGAGGCCCCTCCAGATGCAAGAGACAAAGCCAGGTCCCTCCAAGAACAGGAGCCGGGCGGGGGAGGCGGGAAGGGCAGGGTCTGCAGATGGCCTCTGGGCTCAGGCCCCAGCTGACTGCACAAGTTTAATTTTATGCCAGATTTATAATCTCAGGGTGGTGTGCTGGGATCTATCCAAAAGGCATGACCTTGGCTTTGTATAAAGGAGTCATAGCAGGGAAGGGTTCCATGCCGGGGCCCCGCGCTGGGGTACTCACCCGCAGTCTAGTGAGGCGGGCACTGTGGGACCCTCTCTGCAGAGGGGAAACTGAGCCTTGGCGAGGTGCCCAGAGCACCTGCCAGGAAACACAGGCAGGGCTCAAGTCCCAGGTCTATGTGGGCCTGGACCCAGACCTAAGGGAGCACTGAGAGCCACTGTGGGGCAGGAGGGCCCAGGTGGGTGAGGGTCAGCACTGACCACCAGGACTCAGCTGGGCTCCCCGGGTTGGGCTCCTGCGGTGGGGACAGGCGGCAACCAGCAGCATCAGCTGTTCTGCAGAGGAGCCCCATGAGTCACAGCCCCCCAGCTCCACGTAGGAGGGGCTCAGAGCCAGGCCCTCGGCACCATGACGGCACCAGCCAAGAATGTCAACACTGGGCCGGGACGGATGCCACGTGCTAGAGTCACCCCCGCCAATGGGGAGGCCCCAGCAGCCTGCTAGGGAGGAAGCAGGGAGAGAAGGGCATACCTCGCCCAGCGCCCCCCATTCCGCGGCCCTTCTGCTGCTTCTGCTGCTGCAGGCCACCGCGGCCGCGGCCCTTGGCCACCACCTCCTCCTTGACCATGTCGATGATCTCATCAGGGATGCGCAGGTACTTGATGGTGCTGCCGCGGATGTAGCACTCGGGCATCCGCCAGAATTTGTCCCCGTCCTGTGAGAGAGGGTGTGTGTGTCAGATCTTTTGGGGGGGGTGGTAGGGTCCCTGCAGAGCAGGTGCAGATGGCCGGGGCAGCATCTGTCCCCTCAGGCCGCCTGCACCTGGCATCGCCCCCGCAGGCCCCGCAGGCTGCAAAGTTCTTCGTCCTGGACGGGACACTGGAGGGGCCGCACTCCAGCAGGATCTCTCCAGATCCTTGGCAGCCCTTCACACATGAGAGAGGGTGGGGCAGGGCCTCGTGAGAAGCCTCCGTGTCCTCAGCCTGTCCTCCAGTGGGGGATGCAGCCCAAAGCCTGGAGAGGGGTGAGGCTGTCCCACGCGCCAGGTGCTGCCACAGCCCAGCTCCTCCCCCTCCTGCCCCCAGCCTTCCAGAATTCACCTTCTGGAACCCTCTCTATGCACCCTGACTCATTCATTCACACAAGTATCTCGTGGCAGGGTCTGAGCTGGGCATGGGACACAAGTGAGCAGGACAGAGACCCTGTGTGATGGGTGAAGAGGGCCAGGACGGGGGTGGGGAGCCAGGTCTGGGGCCAGCCAGGGGCAGCTCCCAGTGATGCCAGTTTTCAGGAGAGCTATTGGAGGCTAGAGAGACAAGGGGCTTGTAAAGTTGCAGACTCCTGAGCAACGCCAACCCTGCAGTTCTTAGGATGCTGACTGTTTCCCCCCCACCACCATATACCCTGCGACCAGCAAAAGGCCTTCCCTCCACGCTACCTCCTACTGCCCTTGGGCGGGAGCCCGGGGCCTCATCCATCAGATGAATTCTCCGGCCCCATCCCTGTTGCCCAGGCCAGAAGCCTGGTAACCCTCCCCCGCCACGCCTAGAAATCAGACCAAGACACCTCCCTGCTTAGATCCCAATCAGCGCCCCGTTGGCCCAAGGACGAGGTCCAAACTCCTCAGTGTGGTTCCAGAGGGCCTGAGATCCAGCCCCACCCTGGCTGCCCTCTCTCGGCACTCGATGTGCCTTCCAGATGGAACTTTCTGGAACACACACGGTGGGCTTCCGGGCCCCAGCACTTTGCACACGCTGTTCCCACCTTTTCACATCTGGCTAACTCCAGTCCTCAACAGGCCTTGCTTCCAGCCTCCCTGCAAGCCCCAGTCCTGCATGACACTCATCAGCGGTGCCTGGGCCGATCTGGCCCAGCCCAGTGGAGGTACTCGGCAGGGACAAATGGAATGTTTGCGGGCCAACTCTTCCCAGGAACACACACGAGAGCCCCCGACCCATACAGGAACCCCAAGAGGCCTCAGAGCATTCCTTTCCCAGAAATGGTAGGCGAGGGGCCAAGTCCGTGGGGATGCAAAGTACAGCCAGACAGAAACAATGATTGTGTGGAAGCTCAGGGCCGGGGCTGGGGCTGGGGCTGGGGCTGGGGCCGGGGCCGGTGGCTCAGCGCGAGGCTTTCCCTCAGCCAAGGGCAGGCCGAGCCCAGCGCGCTCCCTGTAGGAACAGGGTTTACTGTGCTTTCCATGGGGGCAGCTAAATGCCTCCCGACCCTTGCTCTCCCGTGCTTTCTCAGCCCCTGGGATCTCTGTTCAGCCACCTGCTACCCAAGGGAAGGAGGGGCTGCCATCACCTGTTTACAGATGAGGACTCTGGGTGGCCTGCGTGAGACGGTACCTCCCACCAGCCTCTCCTCCCAACCGCTGGGTCACAGAGGGGGACTCCCCAGGGGGAGCCACGTGTCCAGTCTCGGCTGGCCATGGAGGCCGGACGGACCTTGCCCTGAGACCCAGCGATTGGTTCTAGGTCCCAGAAGTGGACACAGACGTAACAGCGGCGTGCAGAAGGACAAGCGCTCAGCTGTGCACTGTGGCATCGTCTGCCACAGGCACACTGCAAACGCCTGCCACCAGGAGTTCGGTCCCAAGAAGCAGGTCACAGAGCCAAGCAGGTGAGGGTAGGGGGTCACAGCCCTCTGTCTGCCTTTTGGGGTGTGAACTGTCCAGGAGCACAGACCGGGGTGAGAGTGGCTGCCTTGTGCTCTGCCGTATGCTGGCGTGGTGAGCCCTGGGGCACACTGCCTGTGGCTCAAGACAGCCGGGCCCTGCCTGGGCCCTCCAGGAGCTTCCTCCCTGTAACATGAGGGGCTATCTTGGGCAGGGGGACAGAGACTGGAATCAAGGTGAAAGGAAAGCTCTAGCAGAACCCAGTGCAGATTAGGGGGAGGGAGTCCTGCCTTCATCACCG